ATGAATAAGTAAACAAACAAATGGGAGAGGTCTGCGGAAGTGTTTCAATATGTTCCAGGGGAGAAAGCAGGCAACACCTTGCGTAAGTATAAAATGCTCATTTTTATAACAATTCCACACCCTGCCTTTATCCACCCACAGTTTCAAAAAGGGAAGGAGAAAACCCATGGGAGGAGAGAACATTGTACGTTATTATCCTAACTTTCTGTGCAAATCATACACGAGTGATTGCAGAAGAAAGAAAAAGAGAAGAACAGCAAGGCACACACGTTCGGGGTACAGAGTGCTTCAAGGGCAAAACCGAAGCCCATTCATTGAAAACAAAGGAAAACCAAAAAGTCCCTGCCATCCATCACAACAATTTTTTTCTTTTCACTTTTAATTTTGACATGATATCACATGCCCAGAAAATTTCAGGAATATGATGCATTTGAGCACGTTCTGCCACATTCACCAGTTTTTAATCACATTTATCACAATCTGCTTTGTTCCCTCCTTCTGCTTCTCATTTTTTCCAAACCACTGGACAATAAGTTACAGATATTTACAACTCTTTACCTTTACATTCTTTAGTATTTATTTCCTAAATCTAGGGATATTCTCTTTTACATTGACCAAATTAATCTTTAAAAAAAATAAACTCCAGAGTTTATTGCATGCCCATTTTATTTATCGGTATATATTTGGGCTACGTAGTAATTACATTCTCCTGGGGAAATTGCTACATATACGTATCTCATCTTGATCATTTTTACTCCTCCTCGCCTTCCTGTCTCTCCCTCTCCTCCATCTCCAAATCCTCTTCCCATCTCACAAAGTCTACTTCCCCGTTTCCTGTCCTCTCTCTCTCTTATTCTGCTCATTAAATTACTGATCAAAAATTAATATTGCCACAATCGTATGCTTTAAGTGACACAGCTTTTGGGGGTTGGGCTTAACCAACTCAGAAATGCCTTTCTTACCAAAGGAAATGCAAGATTAACTTTGATCACTTCAGAGACGTAGTGCCTAGTGATTGTCTCTACCCTGAAACTACTATTTTTCTTTACCTTTTAAAAATTGGCATATGACAAGCATCCTATGAGACTATTATGGGACTCCTGTCATCTAGCATTTTTATTTCAACTTTTTAATGTTTAAATAGGTTTATTCTAATTTTTTAAATTATTTATTTGTTTGTAGTACTGGAGATCAAACCAGTAAGCTCAGGCATGCTAGGCAAGCACTCTACCATGGTGCTACACCCCCCAGCCCTTTTAAAAAATTTTATTTTGAGACTGGATCTTCCTAAATTGCCCAGATTGGGCCTCAATCTGAGATCTTCCCGCCTCAGCTTCCAAGTAGGGTGGGAGTACAGGTGTGCACCACTGCACCTGGCTGGGTGTGCTAAATCCACATCCGACCACTGTGCTACCACTGTCTACAGGGTACAGTGGGGTAAGATGCTGTATAGTTTTGGAGCATGGGACCAAGAAACTACACGATGCCCCAGAAGTGTGTGGTCTGGTTGTGTAAATACGCTCACTCTATGACCTTTGTATGGGGACAAAACCGCCAAATCCATGTGGGATTGCATCTGGCAAGGGACATGTGGGGACTCCGTAAATACCCCATGACTCCTCCTGGATGAGTCCATGACAGATCATAAGACAGTGGCTTTCTACTTCCATCCAATGATTTCAATAATAGGCAGATGATTTTAGTTTTTGGGCCTTTGGCCACAGGGGCAGGGAATCCTCATAAAAGAAACAGGAAGTGGGTTAGGGCAGTGCTGGTGTCTTAATTGTGTACCCGCAAGTGACAGCTGAAATGATTCTTCTGACTTGATACCCACCATGGCTCTGTGTCACGGAGGTCATGAAGGATTCCAGAGGACAGCAAGTCCCCTTTCGTGCCTCCTTTTTCGGTGCTGGGATGGAACCAAGGGCCTTTGCACTGAGGTACACTCCCAGCCAGCCCTTCTTAATTTTTTTTTTTTGGTACCAGGGATCGAACTCAGGACCTTGTGCTTGCAAGGCAGGTGCAGCACCACTGAGCTAAATCCATGGCCCCCCCTTTTTAATTTTTGAGACAAGGTATTGCTAAGTTACCCAGGCTGGACTTGAATTTGCTATCCTCCTGCCCCAGCTTCCCAGAGTGCTGGGATGACAGGCTTGTGTCATCATGTTTGATTTTTTAAATGTCATTTTTAGCACTCACTGCCCACTGGAAATTTTCATGGCCATTTTGCTCCTATGGGTCAAAGGAAGCCCACGCTAATGGCTAAGTTTGCCCAAGGAGGAAGGAGACCAACGCTTACCAGTTCCACAGTGGTTGATACCTAGAGGTGCAGGCACTTCCAATTTGTCCTCCCCGGGTTCATGCTGGTCCTTTGGCAGACATAAGTTATTGGAAAGAAGATCTGATGCATTGTCCTTTCATATCAGCCCTCTGGTGGCTTCCTGTTGCTTTTATATTAAAAGAAAGAAACCAGGAGCAAATTCTATCATGGTGAATTCAAGACTGCCCCTTCTAGCTCCACTTGCTCCTCCTCCTTCTCCACAGCTCCAGAGCCCAGCTGTGAAGACCTCATGATGCAGTGATCCACGCATATATATTTATGTTTACAGCAGCTCAATTCACGACAGCTAAATCTTGGAACCAGCACATCAGCGGATGAATGGATAAAGAAAATGTGGCATTAACACACAATGGAGCACTGCTCTGCCATAAAGAAGAATAAACCTGAGTCATGTGTAGGAAAACTGATACATCCTGAGACCATAATGTGAAAGAAATCAGACACACAAGCTTAAATATTGCCCGGGTTCTCTTCTGTGAGAAACCCAAAGTATAAATAAAGAGCCAAATAAACGGTGGAAAATAGGAAGTAGGGAGGTAGATCTTTTGGAAGAGGGAAGTAGAGTGAGAGGTGGAGGAGGAGGAAGGGGAGAAGAGGAGGATGAAGAGAGAATGCAGATGTGCTTTGCACATCTCACAAGGAATGCCATCATTATGAACTGCAAACAGGCGCTAATAAAAATAAACACTCAAAAAATCCCTTCGGGCCTTTGGGCAGGCTGTTTCCTCTGTTTGGACCACTTGCCCCGGCTTTCCTGGGTGGCTGCCCCTCCTTTTCAAACTTCACCTCCAAATTAGTTCCTCAAAGCTCTTTCCCCATGCTTGCGCCTTCACTCAGCGCACTCAGGATTACTTACTGCCAGTGTCAGCTCCCACAAGGAAAAGCACCGTGTGTTTAGGGCACTGTAAATCCCTCCTTACTCATGGCCCGTGGTTTCTTCCGTTCAACAAATATTTAGCAACCAACGGAGATGTCAGGCACCGAGGGTAAGGTGGTGAACAAGACCGACAGGATTCCTACCTTTGTGGGGTGGGAGGGAAGAAAAGCCCTAAAATAATAAATAAGCAAGGCACCCGAGGAGGAGGAGGCCCCGGGAGCAGAAAGGGAGCCCGGGCCGCGTGGACATCCCGTCCGGCCCGGGAAAGGCCTTCAGGCAGGCTAAGTTAGACTTGAGGCATCCAGGGCCTTGCTCCTGGCAAACTAGTATTTATTTAATAAAGAGGAGAATGAGGGAATGACTTGGGTCTAGGGTGATGTTGGGCTCTTCGGAAGTTTTATTTCCCACGTGCTCCCCAAATCGGGCGTGGGAAATTGGCAATCCCATTACACCGGCGGCGACGTGGACGCCGTTGCCCAAGTCACTGATCCCCAACTACACAGGAAGGAATTGGGGGGTCGGAGCAGCACCCCCTGTCCGGTTTTGGCTTTCTATACAGTCGAGGTCCCGTCCCTTCAGGTCAGACGGCCAAGGCGATCCTTAGGCCTGAACTACGCGACTGGACCCTCAGACCCCTGCAGTCTGGCCCGGGTGTTGGAAAGGGCGCGTGTCCACCTGCGCCCTGTACGAGGTCCCCGTCATCCTGCTTGCTTTTTAGGAACTTCAGTATAATTTCCCGGTGTCACTTCTTCAGTTTCAAGGGCCCCAGGGGCCCAGCCACGACACACCGGGAGCACGCGGGGCTGTGGGCACGTGGCTGTCGCTGTGGCCCGCTGGGCGGGGGCGCACGAGGGGAGGAGGGGACTCTGCCGCTCTGCTAGAGTCTGCTAGAGGCGGGGCGGGACTAGGGTGAATCCAGACAGACGCGACTCACACGGGCTGCAAAATTTGAGTGCCCCCCCCCCCCCGTCCCAAGAGAAACAATGCTTCCAGGTAACATTTACAACAGTTACAGTGAATCAAGACAGAATCTTCTTTGTCTCGGAGTAACTACTTTTGAAGATAATGATACATAGCACACTGTTATTCTTTCGTTGTTTTGTTCTGACACTTTATTTTTTTCATTATAAAAATGAAGCATGGATAGCAAAATAAACTTCAAATCAGAAAAAAACAAAAGCAAAATGGCAAAGAGATAGGATCCGTGTCTTTGGGTCGAGCATCCAGGGCGCTCCCAGGATCTGTGATTGGAGATTCCCGTCCGTTTGGGGCGCTCCCCAGGGCAGGAAACCGGGAGCCCCTTTGGGCCGGGTGGGCGCCGAGCCTGGGGCGCGGGGCCCAGCGCGGGGAGGCGGGAGACGGGGCGGGGCGGGGCCGCACCAGGCCCCGCCTCCCTCCCGCTCTTCCCCCCCCCCCGCCGGTTCCACCCCCTCTCCGGGCCTCTCCCGGCTCGCGGTCCCTTCCCAGCCGCAATCCGCGCCGCCTTTTCGCGCCGCCCGGACGGGGCCCAGCTGACGGTCGCGTTGTTTACGGGCCCGAGCAGCCCTCGCTCCCGCCGCCCAGGTGCCCGCCCGCGCGTCCCGCTGTCCGCGCGTCCCGCTGTCCGAGCCCGCAGATCGTGGCCCAAGGGCGCGGGACCAGCGCCGAGAGCCCGGGGCGCAGCGCGGAGCTTCGGGCCCTGAGATCGCGGGCCGGGAGGGGGTCTGGGCCGGCCTCCCGGGCCGCCGCCTCCGGTGATGCCCCCCGCGGGCCGGCGCCGCGCGCTCTGATCCGCGGGGACCCCGCGCTCCGGGAGCCATGGGCGCCTGGGGCGCGCGGGGGGCGGCGACCGCGCCGCTGCTGGTGGCCGCGGCCGCGCTGCTGGTGGGCGTCACGGGCCACCTGTACCCGGGAGAGGGTGAGTCTGGGGCAGCGGGAGCGGGCGATGGGGAGGGGCCTGCCACCCCACCTGGGCCAAAATACAGCCCGGAGCCCTCCCCGGGGGTGGGGGCGAAGCCCGAGGCCCCACAGCCAGGCGGGAAGCCGCTGACCTTGGCCTTTGCCCGCCGGGCTCGCGGGTTCGTGCCCCGTGTGCCCGACCCGGGCCGAGGAACTTTGTCCCAGTTCGCGCCCTGCCGCCGGCGCCTCTCCGGAGCGCGCCGCCCGCCGATCCCCGCCCGGCCCCTCGGGGAGCCTGGCCCGCGCGGGAGACGCAGCGACGCGCGTCCTCTGTGGGCCGCCTCTGGAGCGGGGTCGCCGGTCCGGACGGCTGCTGCGGGCGGCCGAGCGCCTGAGCGCGCAGGGTTTGGGGTCAAAGCTCAGGTGCCCCGCTCCCTCCTGGGGTGACGCTGCTGCGGAGGGGAAATCGTAGGACTCCCCATCGCCTGTCCTTGGGTCTAGACCCGTGTCCCCTCGAGCTCACGCCTGTGTCCAGATGGCCAGAGTTTGTTCTGCTTCCAGATGGCCAGAGGCAGGCTCCTGTGAGCAGGTAGCCAGCAGCAGTTGTAGCAGCGGGAGTGGGGTTTTCCTGTGAGACTATTAGGGTAACAATCACCAGGACTTGTCGTTGATCTCCTGGATCCTCGCTGTGGCAGCTGGAGGCACATACTCCTTGCACCCACTTCACAGAGGGGTAGACTGAGGCTCAGACAGGACCCACAACCTAGTTGTCCTGGAAGGGGCTTTGAACCTCTCCTCGTCTGGCCCTGTCCCAGGCTGTGGGCTCCTGTCTGCCCCTTAGCTTTGTCCTTGGGGACCTTGAGGACTTCCCTCCTATCACCCCTCCCTGACCTCCCGTGTCTCCTCCTGGATGTCCCATTCTGGGGGCTGGTGCACCGCAATCCTAGTGGTCATCTTCGGGCTTGATAGCCGCCTTTCAGATGGTGGGCCCCATCTTGAAGACTCGTTGGAGGGAATGTAGTTTGTTCCCTGGCTGTGGGGTCTGAATCTGTACTTTAAAGATATCTCTTGAGTGACTGCTTTAGATTTCTCCATAAAAGGAGATTAATCACGCCGAGGAAGGGGTTAGGCGGGGAAGGAAGAAGGCTGTGCCGTTGACGGCCAGGTTTGCTGAGCTGGCACAGTGTCTGCAGCGCCCAAGGGCCTCGTATGCAGTGGGTACTCAGGGAGGCTGGAAGCTGGGTTTGGGTTCTTGTTAAGAAAATCCCACAGGAGTCTCAGACCTGTCCTGGGCTGCGTGTTCATGTGTGTGCGGGCGTGGTGGTGCATGCCTGTAATCGCGGCGCTCGAGGGGCTGAGGCAGGAGGATCGCCTTGAGTTTGAGGCCAAATGGATTCACCATTTGTTTACCTGTTCACAGTTTCTACAGGGGCAGGGGATTATGTTTGTTGATTGCTGCAGAGTAGTGCCCAGCACGAGGTAGGTGCTCAGTAAATACCTTCATGTGAGTGAAGCACAGGTAGGTGGTAGAGACATTGGGGCAGTTGGACAGTTATCATCACAAGCTCCCGGTCCTCTGGAAAATCCGTGCTTCCCATAGGTGATCTCAGGAGGTCCTCACCGCAGCCCTGCCGGGTAGGAGAACCATTGAGGAAATGGGAGCTAACCCGTGGCTGAGCTGGCTGTGGTGCACTGGTTTCTTCAGTCGGAGCCCCCACCTCTGCTTTGGGGTAATGGTTAACAAAATCCTACCTAGTAATTGAGATGCGGCACCTTGGAGGCCCTGACAGGGGCAAGGAACTTTCCAGATCATTAATCTGCTGCAGGGCCCAGGGAGTGCTCCGCAGGAAGTCCCGAGTCTTTCTCAGAGGTGGCCTGGGGATGTTGCTCATTCTCCCCCACCCATTCTCTTGGAAGTCTTCGTTGCTGCGCTGAGCGGGGCCGTGTCTCCCTTCTCCACCTTCCCCTGGATTGGCTGGCTCTGGCCTGAAGTCCCAGGGCAGCCTCGGAGCCCTGGGTGGCTCTCCCTTCTCCAGGTCACCCCCCCTTGCAGTTGTTCCTAACCTGTGCTCCCCGCCCGCCCAGATACCCGGCCCTCCCCTTCCTTCTCATCCCTAGAGATGGTGGCCGAACCCCTGGGGTCCCAGCTTACAACACCCATCATTGACTTCCGCTTCCTTTGGCTCCGGCAGGTCCTCGGTGACTTTCAGGGCTTGGCTGGTGCCTGGTTGTGGGGCGTCTTGGGCACAGCCCTGGTCTCTGCCTGCTTGATGCCAGTAGCTCTGCTTCAGCACAGTGAAGTGTCCGAGACGCTTCCCCACCAGTACCCTTGCTCTGTCCCCTCTGTATTTGGGATCCTCAGTCACCTGAGCCCGCACCCTGCCACCCGCTGGACCCCCAGCCTTCCCCTGCTGGGCCTCCCCAGCTGCCCCCCTCCCCCCAGTTCTCGCTTTGTCAGCTTCCGGCCACTGTGCTGGCCATCTTGGGCTTGTGTGTCTCCTCCTCCACCGGTAGTGTCTCGAAGGTGACCCCTTTCATCCCAGGGGGCCAGTCTCCCTTGAACTCTCAGCTCCCTGTGTAATTTATATCTAATACGACTCCTTCTGAGACAGCAGGGGTCAGCAGGGGTCTGCAAACTGCCCAAACCACACTGCCTGTTTTGTGAATAAAGTTTTATTGACACAGGGCCACACTCCTGTTTAAACACATCTAGGGCTGCTTTTAAGCCCTCCTGGCAGGATTACGTAGTTACAACAAACAGACACACAAACAACAAACAAATAAACATTGATACTTTACACTGGGCATGGTGGCTCATGCCTGGGAGGCTGAGGGAGGAGGATCGCAAGTTTGAACCCAGCTTGGGCAACTCAGGGAGAATTGGTCTCAAAATAAAAAAGGGGCTGGGGCAAAGGCCCTGGGTTCAATCCCCAGTACTGGCAAAAAAATATACTTTGGCTCTTCATGGAGAGTTTGCCAACTACAAATCCCTGACCTGGACTAAACTCCTACACCACTAGTACCACGTCTTCTCTTCCTCCTCCTCCTCTTTCTCCGTCCTTTTCTTCTTCTCCCCTTCCTCTCCTTCTACCCCTCCCCTATTTCTTCTTTTGAGACGAGGTCTTGTTATGCAGTGCAGGCTGGCCTTGAACTCACTGTGTACCCAGGCTGGCCTCAAACTAGTAGCAGTCCTCCTGCCTCAGCCTCCCGAGTGCTGGGATGACAGGCGTGCACCACCATACCCAGCAGTTTTCCATTATTTCTTATGGGAAAAATATATTCAGTCTCAAACTTTTTGGTGTTTGAACATGAATTTGGAATGAATCGAGTTTGGCAACCGAAGTATCCTTGTATCTGTAGCCCTTGAGTCAATACTTGTGGTCCCTTGAGGACACTCCAAAAGTAGGGACCTGAGATCTGCTGCCCAAGGAGGTGCTTTCTGTTGTCTTTCAGTGCTGTGGACTCTGCAGTCTTCCCCCTGGGGACCAGTGCAACTGTCCTTTTTGTGATGAATTTGCTGCCTTGTTCTTTTGCAGTTTTGTGCTTCTTGTTGGGGATCTGCTGTCTTGTGTCCCCAAGGCAAGAGGGCTGTGCTGTCACCGGGGAAATACCCGTGTGTTTTTGATGAGCATTGTTCAGATTTGAGCAGTGGTACTCTTGGCCCTGGGCTCATTGTGAGTAAAACAATGATGTCCACTAAAGATACAAAGCGTCTCCCAACACTGTGGGGAACTGCGGTGGCACTACTGTTTTATGTAATCGTTAGAGCTTGTATTATATGTGCTTTTAAACTATATTTTTTGAAATTTTATCTTTTATTTTTTATCAGTGCATGTTTGCAGCGCGTGATGTTTACATTCCTGGTGTGGAGTTGGTACGGGTACATGACACATCCCAATTCCTTTTCCCATCTTCTTCCTCTCTCCTCTCCTCCCTCCATCTCTCCATCCCTTTCTCATTTGAGAAAGATCTGTCTCCCTACTTTGTATCATCTTTTTTTATTTTGCTCTTTATTTATAATTTACGTTTCTCATGTAAAAGAAACAACATGATATTTAAGCCTGTGTATCTGATTATTTATTTATTTATTTATTGGTACCGGGGATTGAACTCGGGTCCTTGCGCTTGCGCAGCAGGTGGTGAAACCACTGAGCTAAATCCCCAGCCCTGTATCTGATTATTTCACTTAGCATTATGGTCTCAAAGTGCATCCATTTTCCTACACATGACCCGAGTTTATCCGTTTTGCTGGCACAATAGTACTCCATGGTGTGTAAATACCACATTTTCTTTATCCATTCATCTGCTGATGGACACATAGGCTGCCTCCAAGGTTTAGCTGTTGTGAGCTGTGCTGCTGTAAACATAGATGTGGATGTATCCCTGTAATATGAGGTCTTTAGCTCTTTTGGGAAGATACCTAGGAGGGAGATAACTGGCTCAAATGGAATTCCCAGTTTTAGTTATTTGAGGAATCTCCACACTGATTTCCATAGTGGTTGTACTGGTTTATAATACATTTACTATTTTAATTGAAAAACCCTAAATATGATCCAATCACAAAACATGCAGAAAATAAGATTAAGTACTGATCTGTGAGCAAAAAATATGGGTGGAAGCTCAGAGAAACTGGCTGCATACTTCCCCTAGGAGCCATGGTTCCTATTTGTCATTTCAGTTTTTCAGCATTCTGCACACAGCGTAGCTCCCAGGAATAGAGAGGTGAATATTGGCTTTGGGGGTTCCTTCTTTATCTCTGGTTTCCAATTGCAAATCTGGGTGTGTCGTTTCCCATTTAGAATCCCTGGCACTGGGAATGCTGTTTGGCTATGTTTCCACCTGCTTGCAGAAAGTTGGCCGTCACTTGGAAATTTCCCAAGAGCACACAGAGCCCTGCCCTGGCTGTTTTTTGTGGGGAGGGTCAGCCCCCAGGGCCAGGCAGTACCAAAGTGGCCTTGGGGATTTTAGGATCAGGTTTTTTTATTTCCAGCAGGGCGAGATTTGCTCTTCCATGTGGTC